TAATTTTGTTCATGGACATAGACAACCTCTTTTTTTTTTTTTTTTTTTTAATCCATATGTTTCTTATGTTTCTTTCTGGATTATTACATTGACCAGACATTCCATTATACTGCTGAACACAAATAAGGGTGGAAATTCTCTTTTTGCTCCCAATCTTAAAGGGGATGTAGTCTGTTTGTCACCATTCTACATAATAATTATAGGTTTTTCATAAATGGATGATGAAGTTATTGCCTATCTTAGATTGCCTATCTCAAGATACATACACATATAGAAGTGGGATTTTGCTTTTTCTGCATCACAGAGCTTTCTTTTCTAATTCTGATGAAGAATCCTGTGTTGTTAGTATGAATTTATGTTTCAATATTAAACCAAGTATCCTTCCTGGAATAAACTCCAGTCATGATGTATGTTATCATTTTAAGTACTGGAGTGGATTTACATCTTTCCTTTCCACTCCCCTCACCCACATTTTCCATGTAGCCACTATAAACTCAAGTGTTCTAAAACAGCCTTCACTGACATCACTTTTCTGCTTAAGAAACTATAAAACTTCTTTACAAAATATTTACTAAAAAAAGTATTTCAGGGCTCTTTTCCTCTTACTGTTTTTCTACCAAATGATATTTATTTTTTCTAGTGACATCACACCAACTCATTAGTTTCTGTAACCCACATTTTTTTTGGGGGGGGGATGGTACCGGAAATCAAACTCGGGATCCTGTGCTTGCCAGGCAGGCACTTATGCTGCTGAGCTATATCCCTAGCCCAAACATACAATTTTTAAATTAAATCTCTCTGATATGTATGTTTTAGGGATGAATACGCAGAACTGAGCCACATAGATGAAAATCTTTCACTCATAAATCTGAGATCTAAGAAAAAAATTATTGGGAGTTAGGCAGGTAAAGAGAATAGTCTACATCAATAACGTAGAAACTTGTGCAAAAGCCAAGATGCAAAAACAAGACAAGGGGCTGGTGAGATGGCTCAGTGGTCTAAAGCACCTACTTAGAACAAGCTTAGCAAAGCACAGGGACC